ACTTTGGGCGTCATCACCGCGACTCGAATATGCGGAGCTGGATCTGACTCTATTTCTTTTATTCAATCATCGGGTAAAGCATTTGCGGGTACTTTTCCAGACTACATGTTTCATTTCGGGAGCAAAATGATTCCATTTCTGTCCTCCAACAGGACTGGGCTCCAGTCTCTTGGAACTACACACGATGGACTTTCTCAATACTAAATCGGCTCTTTGCTGATGAAGAGCCTGGCAATAGTCCGGATCTGAGTTTAGTGGCATTTCTTGTTTCGCTCTTTGTACAGTAGCAACTATTCATTCGGAAACAAAAGGGTTTAGTGACTCTGCGAACGAGTCGGCCTTGGGAATCTGGAAAAAAAAACTTGACGCCGAATTTCCCCATGACACCATCGGTACGATTCGGAAAAGAATTGGAGCCTCTGTCTAGATCAGTAGCGATCATTTGGAAAAGTCTTTTGCAATTAATTAGATGTTTCATTTTGCTGTTTTAGAAAAACAACTAATAATATACTCATGGCCGAAAAAAAAAGCCGGGGAATTTCGCGGCACATCAGTTTGTTGCCATTTCGTCAATCTTAAATTACGGGGAAAATGTGGCAGTTCAACATTTTGACTGAAGCATTCAAAATAGTTGCACCTCATGTTAAAGAGATTCAGGCAGTGAGTGCGAAATAAGGAAGTGCAACAAAAACACCAGTAACTTTCTATAAATGAAGATAACAATAATAACTATGGAGTAGACGGAAAAACAAAACTGACCACTTCTTCTTTTCGCTCAATCCTCGCCACATGTTATCCTTCCGAACGTTACGTTCTATCAATTTCCGCCACAGCTGCCCCCTTGCCAGTACGCTTCGCCAGTTCGTACTCACAGCTTCACAAGCAGCAAGGGTTCGGGCGTCCAGATTTGAAAGAATCATCTCGGCCAAATGTTCTGAAAAGAAGATACTTGAATAAACTCATTCCAAATACTTGAACCGAACACTGCTTATGAACGCGAGCGAATTTAACAAGAAAATATCCTGCCAAGAACGAGAGTGCGTTCATGATTTGCGACCCAATCGCTTGGATCGCGCGACCTCGACCAAGGTGCTCCACCGCCAACTGGTGGACGACTACGCTTCGATTACAAAAATACGAGCGAGTCATGCACCCAGGTTATGGACCATTCCCTTCGAGTAAAGTCAAATGGGAGAGATATTTTATGATCATGGTCCAATCCGCCGTCGCTCGAACGTGGATGCTCATGAATGAGCTCACTCAGTCTCTTCGCATGGAATTCAAGTAGGGTTCGGTCTTTTTATGGCTCGAAGCAATTAGAGCAGTCCCGAAAGGCATCTTC